GCGGTGGGTCGTGGTAAAAAAACAGAACAGAGGAAGAAAATTTTTTGTCTGGTCATTTTTTTTGCAAATTGTTTTTTTTATCGCGCTTTTTCTTTTTTTTGTAACTAAAAGCCAAAGAAAGAAAAAAAAAAAAAGCGCGCGAAAAATTGTAAAAAAAAAAAAAAGGAAAAAAAAAAAGTGCTTTTTTTAAAAAACTTTGGGGGCGCCCGGGGTTAAGCCTTCAGTGGGGGTTAGAAAGGCTTTGGGCGGAAAGAAAAAACGCCCATGTTTTAAAACCAAAAAAGGGCTTTGAGTCTTTTTCTGCTGGCGGGCCCCCCGGGGGTTTGAGTAAAAAAAAAAGTTTTTGTTGTTTTGAAAATTTCGTCCAGCATTATATAAAAAACACTTGGATTAAACGAAAAAATTTGGATTTTTTATTGGTATTTTTAAAATTAAGTAATTTTAAAAATTTGTTAAAAAAAATTTTTTTGTTTTAAAAAAGAGCTAAGAAGCTTTAAAAAACCTTTTATATATTAAAATTTTAGGATTTTCAAGTTAAAATAAGTGGGCTTTGTATTTTTTGTGGGACCACGGTATTTAAAGCCATTTAAATAAAGAAAAAAAAGCAAAATTATAAATTTGAAGTCTTTGAAAAAAGGGCTGTAAAAAAAAATTTTTTTTTTTTTTTTACGGCAAAAGCGGAAGTTCTGGGTTTTTTCTTAATTTTTTCAAGGTTCAAACCCAAACGTTTTTTTCCTTTTTTCAAACATTGGTTTTTCCATCTTCAAAAAAAAAAAAAAAAAAAAAAGGGGCCAGATTTTTTTTTGAGGGAGAAAGGTTAAAAAGAAAGGGCTCAGCGAAACTTTTTCAAAAAAAAACGTGGTGGAAAAAACAAGGGGAAAAAAAGGAATCACCCTCGCCTGTTAAAAAAAGGGTGTTTTGGTTTTTTTGCTCGCGAAAACGCCTTTAAAAAAAAAAAAGAAAGGACAAGGGAAAAAAAAGAAAAAAAAAAATTGAAAAAAAGAATTTTGGAAGGTTTGTTTTTTCAAAAAGATTTGTTTTTTTCGAATTTTTTTTTTTTTTTGACCATGTTTTTAAATATCTGGGAACCAAGATTGGTCTTGAGAAAAAAAAAAAAAAGAAAAAATAAAAAAAAAAAAAAAAAAAAAACATTTTTCAAAGTCTTCTTAGAAAAGGCGCTGGGAATTGGGACCAAACTTGAGACAATTTTTGGGGTTGAAAACCGCAACCAGCAAAAATTTTTCAAAAAAAAAAAAAACCAAGGAGGACAGAAAAAGTGTTTTAAAAAGACAACCACCAAAACGTAAAAAAAAAAAACAATTTTTATTTTGCGCAAAAACACGACAAAACGGATGGACACAAAAAAAAAAGAAAAACCACCTTTTGGCGGGCGTCTGTAAGGGGGCCAAGGAAAATTTGAACAAATTCGAAAATTAAGAAACAAAAAAAACAAAAAATAAAAAAAAAAAAAAACCCACTGTTTTTCCAATTTTACGGGCGACCCAAAGGATTTTGTTTTTTTTATTGGATGGAAGGGACCCTTTTGTTTTTTTAGTTTTTTTTTTACGATGTTAAAAGAAGGGTTTTTAAAAAAAAAAAAAAAAAAAAATAAAAAAACGTTTGTTTTACTGTTCCCAAAAAAATGGTTTCCCTCAACTGAATTTGCTTGAAAAAAAGCTTGTTTAAAAAAAAAAAACATTTTAAAGAAAAAGGCCTTGTTTTGTTTCTTTTTTTTAACCAAGTGGAGCCCTCGTTGTTTTTTTTTTTTGGGTTCTTTAAGTTTTTTGGAATTTTTGGAAAACAAGAAAAAAAAGCAAAAAAGGTAGTTTTCAAACCTGTTTTTTAAAGGCTTGGAAGGAGTGAAACCGAAAGTTCAAGAAAAACTTTGCTTAATTAAAAAAAAAAAAAAAGGAACGGATGTATTTAAGTAGGGTGGAAAAACAAAAAAAAATTTTCAGTTGGGGCTGAAAAAGTGGAATTTTTAAAATTTCCTTTGAAAAAAAAAAAAAAAAAACAAAAAAAAGCTGGAAAAAAAAGAATAACAGGAAAAGAAAAAAAAAATGACAAACACCATAAATTTGATTTTTGGCTTAAAAACAAAAAAAACAGCTTTTTTTTTCTTGACTGTTGAAAACCATGAAGAACAACAAAGCAAAATTAAAAAAAAAAATCCCTTACAAAGGGCAATTATTTTTTAAAAAAAGTGGTCTTTTAATGCCCCAAATTTGTTTTTCCCCTTGGCAGTTTTTTGAATAACTATGGGCCCGTTGGTCATTTAAAAAAAATTTTTCATTTTTTTATTTAAAATTTCAAATTATTTTTTCAAAAAGCAAAAAAAAAAAAAACAAAAAAAGCAAAGCCTATTTACGCTTGTTACTTGTATAAATTTTTTTCTCCCGGGCATTCCAACAAAAAAAAAAAAAGAAAAGGTTTCCTTTGGCCTTGTTTTGAAGCGTTTCCCAAAAAAAAAAGGCTTAAATGTTCAGTTTTTTTTATGTCAGGGCCCTCTTCTTTGGGAGGGCTTTTAAAAAAAAAAAAAAAAAAAAAAAAAAAACAGGGGGGGAAAAAAAGGACCAAAAATTCAAAAGAAAAAAGGTCGGTTCCAATTTTTGGGAGCGTGCCAGTTTTTTTGTTAATTTTTTTTTTGGCTGGCAGTTGCTTGTGCCAAACTCAGAAAAACAAAAAGGAAAAAAAAATGCCTTGGCATGACGAAAAGTTTGAACTTTGAAAGCTTTTAAAGAAGGGGCCTTTTTTTTTTTTGGGGGGCAAAATCTTGTTTTTGTCTTGTACAAAGGTTTGACGTGCTTTGTTCAGATTTTTGAAGACAGGTGGGGGACTCAAGGGGAGGTTTTTTTGGAAAAAAAGTTGTTGCAAATTTTTTTTTCCTTTCTCTTTTTTCTTTTTTTCCCTTTTCCCTTTCCCGCGTTCCTTGTTGGTTGTGAGAAACAAAACGTTTTCAAACCTTCTTTTTGAGGGTTCCACTTTTGTTCTCCATTCTTTGGAAACAAAGCACTCCAAAAACCTTACAAAAAGACAAAAAACCCAAAAAAAAAAAGATGCCAAAAAGCTTTTTTAAAAAAGGCTCAAGTCATTCGGGTTTTTCATGCAAGGCTTTCCTGTTCTGAGTTTGCAAAAAAAAAAAAGCACTTTTGCCAAAAGATAAAAAAAAATGGGACGCTGCCAGTGACGGGGAACGCCTTCTTTGATTTTTTGGTTTCCCTTTTCCCTGTTTTTAAAAAAGGCTCTCCCGAAGGGAAAACGAGGCTTGAAAACATTTTAAACTTTTTGGAAACAGAATAAAAAAAAAGGCGTTTTTTGGGGACGTCAAAAACAAGGGGCCAACTTTGGAAAAGATTGCGGGAAAGGGAAAAAAAAAAATATTAGTACAAAGCGTATTTAAGGCTGACTTTGGTTTTTTGCTTGAAAAAAATCATTGAAAAAAATAATTGAAATTTGATTTTTTTTTTTTTTTAAATGGGACAAAAACGGGCCAAAAAAAAAGTTTAATTCAAAACTGCAAAGGGGAAACATTGTTTTGGCTTGGGGAAGAGAAACAAAAAAAAAAAGAAACAGCTTTTTATTAATTTGGCTGTTTTTAGGGATTTTTAGAGAGAGTTTGCTTTGGTTTGTTGTTCTTCATTTGTTGTCCTCAGTCAAGAAAGAAAAAAAAAAAAAAAAAAAGCTGGTTTTGATTTTAGCAAAAATCCAATTATCTGGTTGTGTTTTTTTTCTTTTTTTATTTCTCAAAAAAAAAGCTGGTTTTCCCAGGATTAAAATCAAAGATCAGCACTTTTGAGAATTTGTCCCCAAGCTTTTTTTAAAACTTTATTTTAAACATTCTTGGTTTAAGATTAAGGCAAAAAAGGTTTTTGGAACCTCGTTTTTGTACTTTCAAAAAAAAAAAAGGGCTAAAAAAAAAGAACAGTTGAAATTTTACCTTTTGCTGTTTTTCCAATTCACCTGTTTTTTTAAAAAAAGGAAGCCCAAAAAAAAAAAGAAAAACCCAACAGGTCAACTGGTTAAAAAAGAAAAAACAAACAAGGGGCTTTTGAAAATTGTTTTAACAGCCTTTCAAAAAAAAAGCTCAGTGAAACAATTTGACAGTTAAAAATAAGAAACAAACGTTTTTTAAACCCTTTTTGAGCAGGTTTCCAACGTTAAAAGAAAAAAAAAAAAAAAGCTACAAATCTCCCATGCCCCAAAACCCCCCAAAAAATTTCCTTTGCGCCGTATGAACAATTGGGTTGTCAAAAATTTTTTTTGTTTATTCGATTTGCTTTTGGGTTAAATCTGGGCCTTTTAGGACCGAAAAAAGTTGCGGGGGGTTTGTTTTCTCCGTTTGTCGTTTTTTTGCATAAAAATGTTTTTGTTGTCTTTAAAAAAAAAACCAACTTGTCTCTTGTTTGATGGCTGTTGGGGTTTTTCCACCATTTCAAAAGTGTCATTTTTTTTTCCAGGCCTTTTAAAAAAAAAAAAAAAGACTTGAAATGTTTTTTTTTTTTTTTCCTCAAAAAAAAACCCAAAAAAAATTTTGTCCCAAAAAAGATTTAAACAAAATTTTGGGTCAATTGAAAAAAAAGAACCAAAATCTTTTTGGAACAAAAAACCGCTCAAAAAAAAAAAATTTTTTCCAATTTTTTTTTCCCTTTGGTTCCCCTGCTTTAAAAAAAAAAGTTTCGGGAAATGCACAAAAAATAAAAGAAAAAAACCAGAAGAACCCTTGACGCAAAAAAGTGATTTCTTTTTTCTGTTTCAAAAACACGTTTTGGGAAAACAAGGTCGTTTTGAAGGGCTTTAAAACTTTTTCCTAAAAAAAAAAAAAAAAAAAAAAATTTTTGCCTTTTTTGAGTTGAACATGTTGAAAAAAGGAAAAAAAAAAAAAAAACGTGTGACTGAATAAAAGACAAGGGGAAAAAAAAACTACGGCTCCGCGTAGAATTTTTTTACAAAAAAAAAAAAAAGAAAGGCCTTTTTCACATTCAGATCTATTACTGAATTTTTGGCTTCTTCTTTTCATTTATGGTTTGTAATTTTAAAAGTGGTCATAGAAGGCAAAAAATTTTACTTGAATCCAGAAAAAAATCCAGAGAGGAGTTGACTTAAACAATTTATTTAAGGTTGACGTATTGGTATAATATCATGTTGGGGGTACTCCAGTTATATGCTTACATTCAAAGACAAACTTTACTCGAAACCCCGCGGCCGCCGGCAGAAAAGACTCAGCCTTGGTACATGGGGCTCGCCAGCTTCTACCCACTGAGCTAACCGGGCGCCCAAGTTTAAACTTTCTTACATTGCTCTTTGCTAGTAAAAAAGAGGCGATAAAACATTGAATAAGAAATTTGTTACACTAAAATCTTAACAAATCCAGGTATTTTCTCAAGTTTTATCAGCTTTAATTGTGGTGAAAAACAACATTTCTATGCATAAGACCTTTAATGTCAGGTACAGTTTATTAAATGTGAACACGCAATCATTCAATCATCAATTTATGTCAGTCTTTATTTTGTGTAGCACACCCACACATTGTGAGGAATAATTTCCCCCTGATGTTTATCAGCGATGTGATTTTCAGTCTCTTTTCTGAAGGGTCCATTGGCTCATAAACGTCCTAGTGAAATCCTCTGAAGAGTGTCCTGCCTTTTTGGATCATATGGTTCATGGACATCCATTCCTCAGGCCCTCTGATATAAGTAGACCTAGTCTAGGTGTCCATGGGACCACCACACTTTGCATGGTGACCAGCAGACGGCCTGTCTCGGCCTCCTCTGGGCCTGCTAGCAGGTACTCCATACCTAATGAAAAACACGGTAAATTGATTTATATTACTGTGGTGTTAGCATGATATTTTAATACATTTATTTATTTAAAGGCGCCTCGTCTGGCACTCGAGGAACACCGTACAACACATAAAAAATAAAAACAGTAAGAAACAAGAAACAGATAAGAAAAGACAATGCTAGATAGTTACAGTGGGGTATGCAATTCTGGAAAAGGTTGAGTGTTTCAGTCTTGATTTGAAGAGTGTGAGAGTTTCTAACTTTTGAATCATCCTTTACTTCTAAAAGTCTCTTCTTCTTTGGAACTTGTCTTACCTGGGTTTAGAATAGGACAGGTGCAGCCGCGGCTGGTCCAGGACAGAGGATATATGCTGATGGTCCCCAAGTAGAGCGCCACTTGGCCTGATTGAAAGACCTTACGAACTTTGACCTGCACTTCTGCGTGGCTGCCTTTGTCATGCGCAGAGAGCACACTGGCCTTGATCACTGTCAGGAGCAACACAGTAAAAAAGACTGAGAGGGCGTCTTCTGAAACATCAGCCAAAGTATAGATCACAATTTATTAATTTTTCTTACCATAATCATGTTTGGTCTTACAGAGGTCTGACACACTTCTCAGCTTTTTCTCCTTACAGCTACACTTTCCTGTGCACAGACACTGAGTTATACACTTTTATCTCCACAATTGAAATCCCTATGAAACACTACAATCACACAATTTTAAGCCTTGCTATGCAGATGGACGCCACAGTTAACGAGCAACAAAGCAGTACTTCAGTCAGTTGTTACAGCACTCACCTGTATAATGCAGAGCAGAGACTGCGAGCTCCTTCGACCACTGTACCTCTTCTTCAACTGTGAACATGTGATCCAGATCAGGGATTTTTCCACCAATGGGCACATTGAACATCTGGTTATTTGAGTAGCTGCAAAAGTGGAATTTAATCCATCGCATCAGTGTTCATTGTTAGCAATCAACCACATAGTTGATGTGTTAAGAATTTGGCCATGGATTAAGCTTATGGCTAACCTGTCCAAACACTGCCCAGTGGTTGGATCGCAGCTGTGAGGGCAGGCACAGGGTTTACAGCCCTCGTCTCCAAAACCCCAATAGCCAGGCAGGCAGTGACTGCAGCTTGTGCTCCCTACACCAGATTTGCAGTGGCACTGCCCATTTCTAGGGTGGCACCAGGGTCCCTCCTCTCCAGGATGAGGAGGCAAAGTTCCCTGTGGATCACACCAGCAGCCTGAGAAACAGAGACACGGTTACAGTTTTGTATGCTGCTGAAACATTGAATTTTTCTCCTCTTCTAATTGTTTTTACAAACATATTCCAGCAGATGGAGCTATAAGACATTATGGTTCTGTTTCATTTTATCCAAAAAACTTTTAATTAATTCCACTAAGCTCAAATCATCCATACAACCTCCCATGCCAGAGTCAGTGCCCCCTCCGCCCCCTGTTCTGTGTCTCTTACGTGTGCAGGCGTGAGGGGAGGTGAGGGGCAGGGATGGGTGGCGGTGGTAGCCATGGCCACAGCGCTGGCACCTGCGCCCGACAGTGTTGTGTCTGCAGTTATCACAAACGCCCCCACTGGTGCCACCGGAGGAAAGCCATGCCCGCTGAGAGAAATGACAGCTATCTGCATGACCGTGGCACTGGCACTCTGAAGTCACAGAGGTGTGTGACGTCATCAGCAATCAGAGAGATCAGAGAGAGGCAGGTGAAGGGGTGGGAGAGAGAAAGCAAACAAGGAGCATGGAATCATAAGTCTGTGCTAGATTTTGTTCTGTCTATGTAGCCTATTTGTGTGATATACAGGGGCGTGTCCAGAGGACGGGCTTGGGGTGACACTGCCCCCCAGCCCCAAAAACCTAATTGGCGACCCCAAGTGCCACCCCTTTATCCTTACCTCTTCCACTCACACTGTCTTTCAGAAGCAGTACTGGGCTCCATCTTAAAGCAGGTAAGTAAATATACAGTATCAAATTAAACTACATGACCAAATGCATCCATTGGTACCAACCATGTCATGATAGCATGACGGGAAAGGGGCTAAATAAAAAATTTTGAAAAAAATTTGGTGATGCAAAAACTTGAATGGCCATTTTCAAAGAGATCCCGGACATATATCTGAATGAAAATGGGTTTTATGGGTCCCCTTCGCAGACACCCACTTTACGGATGAGGTCCCTAAACAGTATTTGAATTATATAAATCAGGAATGACTGGAAAGCTGAGGCAAATACCTCATGCCACCCGATTCAAAAAACTTCAGACACGCCACTGGTAATAAAGTCCAAATATATCTCCTCTGATACTCCCTCCACATTTTTCTCAGGCTTTTTCTTTATCAGCCGTCCTGTTGGTGGTCACTTACTCTGGCATGGGTTGGACTCCCCACTGCTGCTGTTGGCAGGTCTCCAGGGACGATCATTGTAGAGCAGGGCACACTTCTCACAGTGATTCCCTGCTGTGTGGTGAGTACATAGACACCTACCAGACACCTGGAAGACACATCTGGGGCTGCTCAGTTACCTCACCTACATTAGCAGACATTACAAACACCTGCTGTCTAGATCTATAAATCTAAAATAGAGCCATGCAGGTGGTGTTAAGAGTAAATCAAGCTATTTAAAACCCTTTTTCCATCAGTGAATACATTTTACATCTGGACCTAACATCCTGACACATGTGTTATACAGGGCTGTAACAGAACACAAGTCAAACCAGACCTCCTGTTTCTCATAGCTGCATAGCCACTCACCTTGTTACTGTCCTGTCTTGTGTCTTGGTGGCTGCTGTTGTGTGGTACGCAATGCTCAGCATGCCCATGGCACAGGCAGGTCCCTCTGGCCAGTAAAGTATAAATAGCATAAGGTGCTGAGGCTGGGATTTCTGTGGTGAATGTGGAGGTCAGAGATGAGGCTGTGGGGCTTGTGTGTTCTGCAGGGGGATTTAGAGGTGCTGGACAGGTCTGAGCTTTTAGCAGTCTGATGCGGAGGTTGGTGAGGGTGAGGCGGGCAAGGACCTCTGGACTGTAAGGGTCCAGTGTTTTAGCACTGCTGGGGTCTAGTGTCCGTAATATTACCTGCGAGGAGAAACAGAGTGTGAATCAGCACCGAATTAAACATTGTGGATCTGCTAGAAGATAATACGCTGCATCTTTCTGCATATTCTCTTACCTCCCCCCTACTGCAGGGTGTAGCACTGCTGTAACGGGATGTACACAAAGAGCCTGGCTGAGTGAAATCATCAGGCAAACCAAACTCCATGCTGCAGTTGTACGCAAAGAGCTTAAGCGCTTCCCAGGTTTTTCCAAAGTCAGCTGAACGTTCGATGGCCATGGCAGCAGGTCGGGGTGACCTGAATACTAAAACCACATGGGACAAACAGAAGTGTGTCTCCAGGTCCAACCTAATCTCATCCTGCATGCTGGTACCTGCACCTGATGCCCACCAGGTGTCTGGATGCAAGAAAGGGTCATCAGTCATGTGAACAGATGGGTGAGTGTCCTCGGGGCATGGGTGAGGGGTCACAGGTGAATGGTGGCAAGGACTGTTCCCACAGCAGCTTGAGAGGGTGAGGACGGTCCTGCCACTAGCCAGGTTCCCTATGGGTGGACTACAGGCATGGTCCACACATCTGGAGACTGACACAAAGGGTGATGGAAAGTCAGTAAGAGTCTCACAACATAGAATGCATTCATCAAGATAATAGAGGTATTCAGATCAGTGCTTCTACACTGTATCTGGTGACAGAAAACCCTTCAAAATAACAACAAGCACTTTGCAGCACTGTCATCATGGACAAAACCAAAGTCCACTTCATTGTGTTTGCCATGAATATTTAATTTGCTTGACCATTGTGCCAGTGCGGCTGCTCTGATGTGACACCGAATCCTGCTCTTTCTCCATTGGACAGCATTTGCTCTCAGGTTACATGTAATGGCAAGACGCAAGGCGGCCCCGCTATCAAATTGATGAGGTATGGCCTTTTAGGGCAGCAAAAACTAAGCAAATGTCACCTGCATGAAGAACCCCGTAAGACGTCATTACATCATCAGTTTCAGGGACATTTAACGCAGTGTCTGCCCAATCAATCAAATCCTAACCACAAGTTTGGCCACAATGACGCAACTGATTTCAGAGAAAAAGCAATAACAACAGCAACAGAGATGATGATGATGACGATGACGATGATGATGATGCACCTCACCTGCTCCGCTCCTCGTCACAACCAAAAACAGCCAACAGAGCGCCGCCAGCAGCTGATGTCGACCTTTCCCAAGCATACTAAACACTCTCATCCTCGTTCCTGCTGTGTTTACAACATACATGGTGCGATAAACGCCTTCCAGCAGAGATTAGTCCCAACATTATGGGAGTCTATGTAACGGACAAGAGCATTTCCCTGCCAAGTACGCAATGCGCAAACCCAGAGTATTTTTCCGATGTCCTCCCAGGAACGATGTTGAAAAAAAATCCTTGATAAAGTTCAAAGAATCCTCAGGAACAGCTAGGGCATCTCTCTGGCAGACCTGGAGTGTTGCAGAGGAATAGGTTTGTCCAAGAATGTACGCTCCACATGTTACATGACGAAATGTTACTAATTTCCATCTGATAGAGGTTTGTCTTCATCCATTCTGCGCAGTATAAAGTCTCT